GGGGGCCGGCAAGACCAGGGGGCCGGCTAGACCAGGGTCGGCTAGACCAGGGGTCGGCTAGACCAGGGCCGGCTAGACCAGGGGCCGGCTAGACCAGGGGCCGGCTAGACCAGGGGGCCGGCTAGACCAGGGGGCCGGCTAGACCAGGGGGCCGGCTAGACCAGGGGGCCGGCTAGACCAGGGGGCCGGCTAGACCAGGGGGCCGGCTAGACCAGGGGGCCGGCTAGACCAGGGGGCCGGCTAGACCAGGGGGCCGGCAACCTGCGGTTCCGGAGACTCTTGGGGCGGCTTCCCCTTTGTGGATCTTTGGGCTTGGGGGCCCCCCTTGCGGGCAGCCATTAAAATGTTTTTTTGTTATCTTAAACGTCACTTGACACAAATAATAAGCAATGTATTAAATATGACAGGGAATCGGTGACTACGGAATGTCTTGGTGACAACAAAATGAACAGTCAAACTGTATTGTTATATAAATAACATAAATAGACATCTATTTTGTTATTTAATTGAGAATGTGTTTTGTCAACTGATGTCTGCCTGCTGTGTGTTTGCGTAAATGTACAAGGAGCTCTGCGTGTGATGCGGCTCTCAAACTATTTTGGGCAAAGACAAAAAAAAATGTGCTGCCCTTTTTTGAAAGGTTACAAACCCCTGGGCTAGACAATGCTCTCCTGCCATGTAGAGACGTCAAGCACACGAGGTGTACCGGCTTTGGTGGTGGTGCCCGTCATCACGCGGTGCACTCGCAGGGGCATTGACACGGCCCAAGCAGGAGAGCGTTTGGCTGCTCGTTGCAGGAGGCTGTGCGGTTCGAGCCCAGCGGCCACCCTGGTTAACGCTGTGGTTGTTAACAGTAAATTGCTGCTGCTATGACTACTACTACAACACGCTAGAGGTCCCGTGATTTATAATTCGAAAAAGGACTATAGGCCCATTGTCGTGCCGGCGTCATGGCCCAAATTTGCCAAATTTGAAAAATCTCGGCGCAAATGACTCGCCTGGGATTACACGCGCGGCAACATCACCCTCTTCTGGCAGACGCCACCCACTTGTGAAACGCCGCACCTTCGTGACGGCCCCGAGTGGGTCAGAACGATGCGAATACCAAATCCACTAAATTGTCGACGTCGTTGTAACGAACTGTTAGGTGCGTGTAACATTTGAGTGAGCTCTCTGGCGGTCCGTTGCTTGTGCTCTGCTATGCCACGTTGGCGCTGGAGGCTGGAGAAGGAGGAGTGGTGTCCGCCGTCCCTTCTTCAGGAGGAACTGTGCGACCTGCGGCTCTCACTTGTCGAGGCCGAGAGGCGATCAATGCCCCAGCAGCTGCCTGGCAACATCAGGGGCCTCCAGGAGTGTCTGGACCAGATACAAGTAAGCAAGGGGGTTTACTTGTCGATTTAAAGCTTTCGTGACTGCAGGGATTCATATTCTTGGTTCTTTTTGTAAAGTCACGTAGAAGGGAAATAATTTAAATAAAACAATACAATTCTCACGAAGTTTCGATTGCAACACAAGCAATCATCATCAGGTGTGAAAACCACAGCAAGAAAATGTTTGAACCGCCACTTTTTTCAAAAATGTTCTTGCTGTGGTTTTCACACCTGATGATGATTGCTTGTGTTGCAATCGAAACGTCGTGAGAATTTTATTGTTTGATTTTTTTATTATTTCCCTTCTACGTGACTTTACCGAATGAACCAAGAATAAGGGGGTTGAAGTTCTAAATTAATGTTTGCCGGGTTGCTGTTAGACCTAAAGTAGGCACGAGGCTCATAGCCCCGAAGCCATTAAGATAGATATACTGGATGTGGTGTGCTGGATTGTGTCAATATTTTCTGTGTTGATATGAAGCGCACAGACCCGGCTTAATTTGAGCTCTGCAAGTAAGGTTTTACTGGTTTCTAGTCGGTGCTCCGTCAATGGAGGAAGAGCAAAACCACACAAACTCTCTTCTACCAGCTTCGACAGTGGCACACAGTCCGTCGTGCTCTGACTGTAGAGATTGCTACAAGTGAAAGGCCATGCGAGAGAGCGTGGCACAATTTGGCACCAGCTAACGTAGAGTGCGGTCGTGTCGCTACGGTTCTCTGCGGTGAGTAGCAATGTCTTTAAAAGCAACGGGTGCTACGCCTCTCTAAATAAAATTTACGCTGAACCGCTTGCGTGTTCCGAGATTCGGCGGTGAATGGAACACCGCACCGTGCAACTTGCAGACGTATTGGAATGGGAAAGAGTTAATAATTCACATGGGCACAGTGGCTTTCCATCTTAAACCTCATGTTCCTAGGGGTAGGAGGATAAAAACGCAGGGCAGCTTTGACGAATACATTTCGATCCATGTTTTTCTGCTTCGTGGTCAGCAAGTTTAGTTTTGGCCCTTGCGGTAATGGCAGGGACCAGCGCTAATTCACTAAAGCAAGCCAATACTCTGCTGGCACTTGCCGAGTTGAGCCCCTGAGGCATTCTTCAGGGCACAACATTTCGGCATGAGACTCGATGATTTGCTGCCTGTATATAATTTATTAAATATATATTATTAAAACAATATATATGAAAAAAGCCAACATTTCCACCGCAATTTTTTTATTTCCACGCTTGCACGGGCGTGCTTGCGCGTCCATTGTGTACGTGTGCTAATGCACGAGCGTGTTTTGCATTTTGAAGGGCGCCCGCAGTGCACCTAGCCCGGCACCGTTTATTACAAACTTATGATGGTCGTCGCTTCTTATGTGCGGCGTTGACTGTGCTTCGCCGGTTTTCGACCTGGAGGCCAAGGGGACGCGAGGGTTACGACATGAAAATGAGTGATAATTTGGATTGTGGCCTCATCCGTGATATCATCACGTACTTAAAGTAAAGCGGGGACTTGTATTTTCCGCTCAATGAAATTTCACGACGACAATGTTTTTTGTACACGCATTGGGCACACGCGCAATACGGTCCGCATTTCGCGGTTCTCTTTCGGCAGGCCGCAATGCCAACAGCCGCGGATGTGTGTCGGCCTTAAACGTACACACCGGCCGCTTCGCTTACGCTGAACGTTGAAGATCCTGCGACGTCATTTGAATAGATTGGGCCTTGAGCGGGCAGTATGGTCCAAATGTGCCCAATTTAAAGATTACTTCCATTTTTTTTCAATCAATTGGGATTACACGGAGCAGTTGTTACCCCCCCCCCTCACTGGCAATACCAATTCCCACGTGCAGACCAGATTTCCAGTCTGCCTTGTGCCGCACAGGGGCACCCCCAGTGGCAGCTGTCCTTACACACGTGTGGAAATGAGATGTGAAGCAGGAAATAACCAATACCTGTGGGGTAAATGGCCAGAACTAAGCGGGGGGGGGGGGGGGGGGTGGGCGTGAAGGCCAATTTAAATAGGTGAGTTTTTGCAAGAGAGCACTTGCTGTAAACATCTCCAACGACTACTGATTGTCTCAATCATTTAGCAAAGGCAAAGCGTTTCAAAGCACGGGAGCTGCACCGGCAAAAGCTCCCCCCCCCTTCCCCCGATAACACCCCAGGAAACGTCACCCCCGGCGATGCCGACGCGTGTGCGTTGCAGGTGTGCGTCGACGAGCTGCCCGCGTGGAGGGAGCGCCTGGAGAGGCTGCGCGAGAGCGCGCAGGAGCAGCCGCCGCCGGTGCTGGAGGACGAAGAGGAGGAGGCGGAGGAGGGGGGGACGGGAGACGCCAAGGCCGTCTGGGCAATGCCCGACGACGATCAGATGCACGAGCTCTCCAACCTCTTCCACCTGTGGGACAAGGTAGGGAGGGAAGCCCTTCACCCCCCCCCCCACCACCCGCCTTCGCTCGCTCAAAGTCCTAGACGTTGTCGTGGCCAAAGGCCCCGTCGATGCCCACCGTACCGTGAGCCCAAAGATAATGGTAGCGCAGCGATCGCGTGAATCGCAAATGCGGATTTCGCGCGCGCGGTTTGTTTCGTCTATCTTGAGCCCAGCAATCGACTTGGAATCGATGAAAGGGTATGCACTGTCACGTGCGGTCATGTGAGTAGGAACAAATAGAAACACATCTCTGTTCTGTGTTTCCACGTATAATTACATATATTTGTAATTTTACTAGTTCTATTGGCTTTCCAGACGAATATTGTTCAGCAAGAATATTCTGTACCGGTTTCGATCTTCGTCTCATCATTTCTTTGGAACTGCTTTTTGTGTTTCGTTTGTAGTTGTTCACCCACACTTTCTGACCCACCCCGACTGGGACATCTGTGAAAAGTAGCATCACAGCTCGTCGGAGTCCTTCTCCAGTCCCAAATAAACACATTCCTGCGGAGGGAGCTGGTAGGAACGTTGGGTTGTTAGGTCAATGGCCAGGGTCAACGGCGGCGTGGTGTATTCTGCAAATATGCCCGACTGTGAGGGCGGGCACAAGCCGGCGTGAGTAGGTTAAACGTTGAGTTTTATAAGGGCACCACAGGGTGACTAGCCCCTCCCCACCCAGCCCCTCCCCACCCTCCCCACCCAGCCCCTCCCCACCCTCCCCACCCAGCCCCTCCCCACCCTCCCCACCCAGCCCCTCCCCACCCAGCCCCATCCTCCCTCCCCACCCAGCCCCACCGCCCCTCCCCACACTCCCCACCCAGCCCCTCCCCACCCTCCCCACCCAGCCCCTCCCCACCCTCCTCACCCAGCCCCTCCCCACCCAGCCCCATCCTCCCTCCCCACCCAGCCCCCCCCTCCCTCCCCACCCAGCCCCTCCCCACCCAGCCCCTTCCTGCACGACGGACTGACACACACAATAATCCCCTGTGGGCTGGTGTAACCAGGAGGTTCCTACCAGTAAGATTCTGATAACTCTGGTCGCTTGCGGGCACGGCCCCCCCCTCCCCCCCAGGTGTCGCACGAGTTGCCGGCTCGCTGGCGCGAGGTGGAGGGGCTGCTGCACTCGATGTCGCGCCTCGACGAGCGCTCGGGGAAACTGCTGCCGGCGCTCGCCGCCGCCCGGACGCGGCTGTGGACGTCCCGCGACGAGGCTCCAGCACCACCGCCGCCGACGCCGGGGTCCGGCGTGCAGGTTCGCACGAGCGGTGGAAGGATTCTCGCATGGGTTAACCCTTTGCCATTTCGACGACGTACGCCAGAGGTCGCAACCGGGTACCCGATACCCGTACCCTACCCGATACCCAGCTACCCGTACCCGGTCGGGTACGGGTACGGGTACCCGTTTGCGACCCTGGTGCGGCCGGGTACAGGTAGACCGTGAGTCACTGGTGAGTAACTGTTTGTCACTCATTTCCCAACATTTTGTCTCTTCTCACAATTCAAGTTCCTAGAATCAACCCACCCGCGCCTGCAACGTGGCTTCAATCCCAGAGGTCGCAATCAGGTACCCGATACCCGTACCCTACCTGTACCCTACCCGTACCCGGCCGGGTACGGGTAGGGTATGGGTATGGCCGGGTACGGGTATGGGTACCCGTTTGCGACCCTGGTGGGGCCGGGTACGAGTACGGGTAAGGAATCAAAACCCGTTTGCGACCTCTGACGTACGCTAACACGTACGTCATTGGTCTTTCTTCCGATTTTTCGTTCCGATGACGATTCCGTTGCGGCGATGTTAACACGCGCACGTGTACGTCATCGGGATGGAATCGGAAGTAAAAAGCCGCGCGGGGAAGGCGCGTGGCACAGTTTGGCGCCGGCTATCATAGTGTGGTCGTGTCGCTACAGTTCTGTGCGGTGAATGCAATGTCTTTAAAATCAGCGGTGCTATGCCTCTGAAATTAACGCTAAACCACTTGCGCTTTCCGAGATTCGGCAGTGAATGGGACGCCCAACCTGTAACTTGTTGTTTCGGCATGGGGAAAGGGTTTAAAGTCAGCAGCATAAATGCTCTCAATTGAACGGTGCACCAGATGAGCGAAATATCTGCATGTTTTGAAAACGTGTTGTGCTGTAATCCGGCGCTGCTAGGCAGCGGGGTTGGTGTATCGGACTAATGACAACTTGTTGAGAGACTCAAATTCCCGTGGGCATCGCAATGCAATATCCTGGCTCGCCAGCAGAAAGTATGACAGCAAAGTGTGGACTGATATTATCTGTCCCTTTCGTACGGGATAGAGTGTTGCCCCCTCGCATGCGGGGTGGGGGGGGGGGAGCTTTATCAGTCAAAATTTCATCCATCAGCCACGTATAAATAATATCTTTGCAAACATAACAATTTTGTCGGGTGGTTGGAGCGTCAATGACAATAGTTTGGCGTAAAACTACCACCACCACGTGGCCTAACCTAAAAAACTAATCTGGGTCATGACAGGGGAGGTGTTGGTGGTACGATTGGGCAACAGAAATTGTACCAGCAGTTGGACACCAGGCTCAGAGTGTGGTGTGCGAACCACTGCACCACGGAGCCATTCCCTCCTTTACGATATAGTATTTTATTCCTGATATAAACTTTATTTCCCTTTGGGCTAAATATTTTATAAGTAGGGCCTGTGTAAAAAATGTGATTGTAGCATTCAATCTACCATTTTGCGGCAGAGGAAAATCTGAGTGCGGACTCCGTGAATTAAAAACAGCGCTTCGTGATGGCATTGGCAATGTCGTTATGGGTAAAAGTGTGAGAGTAGCACTTAAAATTCAAGCCGCGCAGACCTCGCCACTGTTTGACATTTGAAAATTTCGCAGCTGACTCGGAGCCGAGCGCTGCTGAAAACAGACCGCAGATGGCCATTGTAAATAGCTGCCCAGTTGCTGCTACACATCACTTTGCCCACTACAAACGCGATTGATTAACTCCAACTATGCATGCAATTTGTAATAATCGAAACATAATATTCTCACGTACACCAAGTTGATGTGTGTACCACGAACATGAGAAATTATAATTGATGGGCCCGATTCCTACTCTTAGTTTTTTCGGTAAAGTCACGTAGGTAAAAAATGAAATTAAAATTAATAAAAATGAAATAATAAAAAATCACGACGTTTCGGAGGCAACACAAGTCTCCGTCATCAGGTGGGACCGTCACAGCTAGATTTGCTGTATCAAGTGAGGCAGGGATTCCAAGATGCAAGTTCTTAAATACAAGTTAAGGGGGAGGAGAAGAGGGGGGGGGCTTATCAGAATGTGGTAGCCAAGGAATGTAACGTATCGGGAGGGGGGAGACTTGTGTTGCCTCCGAAACGTCGTGATTTTTAATTATTTTATTTTTATACATTTTTATTTCATCTTTTACCTACGTGACTTTACCGAAAAAACTAAGAGTATGAATCCTAGCAGTCACGAAAGCTTCAAATGTAGAATTAATACCCTCTATATTCCTGTTGCACGCATTGGTTTCACTCGCCCCCGGCTCTTGCGCGCATTATGTGCTGATGAGACTCGGAAAGTCAAAACCGGTCCGGAGTTTGTTCGCTTAAAAATATGCTGCAGCAATAAATTGTTCCAGGAGGGCCAAATAGGCCAATGGACTAAATTGTAATTTTATGTTTATGTGATGAAACAGACCCTTGGCTCTTTGTAATTGATTTATTTACCCATAAGCCAAACACGCACATGGTTAACAGAGGGGGCGGTGCGACAAATTCCTTTCGTTATCGCACTTGAAATTCCACACTCCCCACATCTACGCTCGGTTTGGCTTTTGCGACCAATATCATCCATAATACAGGTTTTTTTGGTTTGATTACGTAAATATATAAATGTGTCTTTAAACCCGCCAACCACGCGACAGCCAATTAGTAAGGTTTGTCACGTAAACAGAACATGCCAATTTGCTACGAGGACATCACACAAGTGTGTTGGAGAGTAAATCCACAATCTTCTTGGTTCTTTCGGTAAAGTCACGTAGAATGGAAATAATAAAATAATAAAAATAAAACATAATAAAATAAAATACTATAAAATTATATAATAATATAATTATGTCCATTCTACGTGACTTTACCGAAAGAACCAAGAAGATGAAACCCTGCAATCACGAAAGCTTTAAATCGAAAATTAAATCCACAATCTTTACAATCGACGCTCACCCATCTATATTCTCAGCGCCTTGACCGACCCAAACCGAGCGGCGTGGTGAAGTGCTGTGAAATAGTGCTCATGACCTGCACAGCCTGGGTTAGGTCCCCTCATCCAAGATAACTCTATCCAACACGACGGAAATACCCCATTGCACTTTGTTACAATGCTCCGTGCTAGCGCACGTGCGACCCGATTGCACGCCTCGCAGTGCCGGTGAGAGCCACGGGAGGGGGCCCTTGGAGGGCCCAACCGATCGTCACCGCTAACTCATCACTCGCAAGCCATATCCATCCACAAGGTGGCGGCAGCGAATAATACAATTTGAACATGATGGGCATTCGTAAATCAAGCCCTCTCGTAGATGAAAAATTAAAATTAAAATTTTATTTTTTTACCTACGAGAGGGCTTGATTAAAATTAAAATTGTATTTTTTTACCTACGTGATTTTACCGAAAAAAACCTAAGAATATGAATCCTTGCAGTCACGAAGGCTTCAAATCTAGAATCAAGCCCTCTCCTCGACCGACGCCTCTCCCCAAGCCGTGTCGGTCATGGCATTTGTTTGACCATACTTCACCGCGCTGGGCAGTGCGAGTTGTTGGAGGGGAGCGGCTCCAGTGCTGGTTCAGATACCACTCGCCACTGATGTTCGCCTTGGACGGGCTGTGGATAGGAAGCAGACCTTGGTGACCAGGTTAAAAAACGTGTGTTGACCGCTCTGCCACCGCCCCCGACGTGTTAGAAAATAATGCATTGTAATTACTGTACTCGTCTGTAAACACACGGCTGGCCCCTGCAGCCTTGCGAGTTTGGTGACCTTTAATTAAAGAGCATGGCTGTAACCTAACAAAACAAGGGCACAGACAATTACGCCTGGCGCTGTTGGAAAGCCAACGGGGGGGGGGGGCGGGGCGGGGGGGGGATCATCGCCGGCGTTGAACGGCGCTGGAGCCAGCCATGCCACTTGGTCGTGGATTCTCGGATGGCATCTCGGAGGATGAGCCCGGCTACGTGGATGAAACACCCGCGGGGGCACACGGTATCCAGCGGGCGCCAGATTATAACGCGGCCCTTGCCAGAGGACAATTGGTGCGCGGTGAAATATGGGCTACAGAGCTCGCACACTGAAGGGGGAAGGCTGGAAGAGCAATTTTATCGTCTTCATCATCGTCGTCGATTAATATATTTAACGCGGTTAATATTTTATTACCAACGACCAAATCACCAGGATTGCGCGCCCCAAGCTTCGTCAGTTCTGAGAAAGCAAAGCAACCTTGAGCAAGTGCTTGGATCGGTGACCAGCAGACGGTCACTCCAGCAAATTCCGCTGTTGTACTGTACTTCTACGCCCCCCTCTTGACGCTCACCGCATTCACCAAGCTGCACTCACCAGTATGGTGAAGAATGGTCATTTAACCCTGGCTTTGAATATCTGGATTGCTTGCCGCCCGTGATAAAATCCAGGTTCTCAAGGGTTGTTCGTCTCTCTCCAAGTCGCCAAAAGAGTGCACAAGAAACGATCACATAAAATACGATTTGCTGTGCAGGTGGCATACATATAGGCCGTGTCTGCTTGATGAGGGATTATCGACATTTTCGCATAGAACGCCTAATGTGCGTTTCTGCAAGTCGTGCAGTAATTTAAAGTGCGATCTTTTAATAAAGTTTTGTTCATGCCAAGGAAGGCTGCAGTCTTCTTTTGTTTCCTAACCCTGCCCTGTTTTTGGCTTCCCTTTTTCCAAAGGAGAGGGACAAAAATTTAGAACGATAAAATTTGCGTTTTCGCTTAATTTGGCTCAATTCCACATCTGGGAATTCCAAACACCGATTTGGTTGACAAACAATATCACAGTGCAGCCTGTGGGGGGGTCCATCTTCTACTGTGTAATTGGGGAAAAAAGGCCACAAAAAAGGCCCATAATCACGATGGTGAGATGTTATCTCCCTCGCCCGGAATACAGGAGGTCTTGGGTGTTTGATCCTGACCCTGACGCCGGTATATTTAGATTTTGCACGTTCTCCCCGTGGTCACGTAGGTTTTTTTCCAGGTCCTCCGGTTTTCCCTCCACATTTATAAAATGTGCGTTTCGAGTATAATTTGGCTGTTACAAATTTCAACGCAATAAGCCACTCCATTCAGCTATCATTTGTGGCCAGGTCACATCTGAACATGGATAAAAAATCATGTTTTATCATGGCACGTGCCAATAGTAAAATCGGAATAAACTATGGGGGGAAAAGGATATCATTCGTTTTTATGGTAATGTCCCATGTGCTAGGCCTTTTTCAAAGCACTGAAATATTGATGAGGAAAATGTTCTAAGAAATAACATAGGAAAGTATGTGAAAGTAATAGTACCCAGTGTAGTTTTTTTTTAATGATTGATATAACAATCAATAATTTGTAATGCGGGACATGTATAAAATGATAACATTAACGTTTTATCTCCACAGAAGCCGGAGGGTTTGGTGCCCTTTGACCTTTCTGCCGTGAACACTTTGTTGGTCGAGGCAGAAGAAATGGAACGTGCAGGGGGTTTTACCAGAAGAGCTTAAGGTGATGTGTTCAATGCTAACAGGGAGGATCGAACACAAATGCTTGTGACTTCTCGTTGATGTACACCAGGTTGGTGAATGGCAGTGGTATTTGTAAAGTAGGTTGATAGTGGCCTGCTGAAAGTCTGTATTTTTCCACAATTCACAAGGGGAGGTCACATTGCATGGCCATGAAGTCATTTCATGAAAATGTAACTTGGCTATTATCTGATTAGCTGTCCTACGAAGCAATGTGAAGTGTCCTTTTTGTTATTATTAATATTCTAAGAGTACCGTTAAAATATATCGGGCGATATTCACATCTTGACAAAACGGACAATGCATTGCCTTGGCAGCGCTCAGCCCTGGACACTAAAACTGGTGCCAACCCTGGGCAATCATAACTATCAAGAGTGGTTTCATCATTTAAAGTGGTGGTGCTCACCTGATCAATAATAATAATTGTTTGTGGTGGAGACATCGGCTTCTTTTTTAAATGGACAAAAAATAACATCAATATTATGGGGTTTTTTTACACATCATGATCAGATATTCATGCAATTTTACACACTTTTTTTTAGGGGTTGTGTGGTACAGCTCTCTGATGCGTTTTCGTGTCGTTCGGCACGATGTCCAACGTTTCGCTCTCCATGCGTTTGAGAGCCTCTTCAGCAACTGGGAGGTTCTTGAGTAACCGAAGCTCCCTAGCACGTGGGGGCGAAACCTCGGACATGGTCTCAAACAACTCGCGGTACAACCCGAAAGCGCATTGGAGAGCTAAACAATAAATACACTGGTCAACAAAAAAAATCATTTTTTTCTGGCCTGGACTTTTGCAGCTGTTTTAGACTAATTTCAGGGTGCTGATTCCAAATCTGATTTCAGATTTGCTCTATCTCATTTTTATGCTATCGGCATACCCCATTTTCATTGATTTTACCTGAAATTAACTCTGTCACTTATGATTCAAGTTGTTGTGGTGCTGTATTTTTAGGATAGTGTGTTTATAATATAATTTTATGTAGATATCCACAATTATTTAATATTTTTCTTCTACAGTTTTTATTGAAAATGCAATATTTGATATCTCAAAAACCTGATATGATAGACAAAAACTGATGCCAGATTTGGAATCAGCACCCCAAAATTACTTTAAAACCCTTGGAATACCTTATGCCAGAAAAAGTGTGTTGTACAGTGATATCTTTAAAAAATACGAGTATCTTGTCTTGGCGAAAGCCTACCGAGCTCATGCATTGTCTCTGGTGCAAGGGAAACATGGCATACGTATTTGAGAGGCGGGTATTGTATCATACGAGTAAACTGACATATCACTGTTGTTGTGTTTACAGGTCACAGTGAGGAATTTGCATACTGAATGGTTGCAGTTTAATGAGCTGATGCGAGGCCTTCCAAAAGCCAACGAAGAGAAGCCTTGCTTTGCCGATGCAGGTATCTGAACCCCACATCACATAAAAATAAACGACTTAAAAAATATAAACTAGCTGAAGCTCTAAAACTTAATTTCCATTTTGAAGTGTTTGTGAAGTGTTGTTACGGTTTAATGAGTCGAGATAATATTTCTATTTTGGAAGTAATAAATATGCACTTTGCTTTGAATAAAAAGTCACCTGCGTTTCTTGACAGGTCATCATGTTTGGCCCCAAGTAGTGCAATGACGAGCCTGCTAAATAAATTGCAGGCTGCTATCCTACAGGAGTTTTTATTACCCCCCCTTTCTTGATCACGAATTTGTTGGATAATTTACGCTGAAACATGCAATTTGCAGACAGGCGAGGGCCTGTGGTGCGCTTTAAAATGATGCTGTGTGTGCTTCCCTGCTCCTGTGTCCTTTGGTCTTTCCTTCCATCCATTTATCTGCACATCTGTCCCTCCCTCTCGCTCTCCTCGTTTCGTCTTCTTTCAAGTGCCTCTTCTATGAATTAAACTGTCTTCAAGAAATGTGAAAATTTCCTTTTTTTAATCATGATTAGGATTACGTTATATTGGGGGCGTGTAGAGTCAAGCATTGCTCGCCCAGTGGCACGAAGTGTGATTTATCTTCCTGTGGCAAACATAAGCTTCGGCTATGACAAGTTCTGAGTGGGATATTACTTGTAAAGTGAAGGTTTAATAATCAAAGACGCTGAATATTTCAACTTTTACATATATAAAAAAATACAAAAGCGTGTCTGCATTAGTTTACTTTCACATTAAAGTTCCCGATAAAGAGTTTTACGCTGCATTATGCTCGGTGGCATTCACTCACTAATATGCAAATATGGAGGTAAACGTTGCGAATTTGCACTAGTCTATGTTTATTCAATTTGAATTCGGGAAACTATAATACCATGCTAATTCAAAGCAATCTGTTAATTACTTACTGACGTTTAATTAAACTAATATTTGATCAAATTTTGACTTAACTTTCGTGACTGCAGGAATTCATATTCTATGGTTCTTTCTGTATACTCACGTAGGTAGATAAAAATAAAAATAAAGTGATTAAAGCCATCACCCCAACCGTGAGAAAGGAGCCATCTGAGGATCCAATCAAAACCACCTTGCCATACATAGCAGGGATAACCAAAAATATTTCCATAATCATTAACAAACACAAGATCCAGGTCCGATTTAACACAGTATATATAATTCGTGATCTGATCCCATCTGTGAAGGAAAAGATTCCTGACATGCAATATCCCAGCGTCTACAAACTAAGCTGTATCTGCGGCAGCAGTTACCTTGGGGAAACTAAGCAACATGTCTCGGACCGTGTTCGTGAGCATGAGGCAGATTTGAAACACGGCAGGACCAATACTTCTGCCGTGGCTGATCATTATTTTAATGCAACTGGCTCACACGAAATTGATTTCTCTAAGACGATGGTACTTTGCAAGCCTACTGGCTATCAACAAAGATTCGTTCATGAAGCCATCCGTATTTACAGACACAATATCAACCGAGAGGATGCTTATAAGCTCAGCAATCATTGGAAAGATGATGTCAACCACTTTGGGTCAACCTCCACTGTCAGAAGTGTTGGTGTGTGGAGCGAGGTGCAATGCTTTGATTGGTGTAGACCTACTGCCGGTGTCGGAGCCCTCTCCTACATTAACATTAGCTGCCCCGCCCATCTCTAAATCTTTATAAACAGCTTGCCCTCAGAGGCTAACCTCCCTGTTCTTGATGACGACCGCTTGTGTTGCGATCGAAACGTCGTGATATTTTTAATCACTTTCTTTTTTATTATAATTTTTTCTATCTACGTGACTTTACTGAAATAACCATATAATATAATATTTGATCATTTAACATCATCAGTCCATGGCTGGATCAGGGCCTGTTGTGTTAGTATATGCCAAGTAGTTGATATATATAGAAATGTTACATTTCGATTTAAAGCTTTCGTGACTGCAGGGATTCATCTTCTTGGTTCTTTCAGTAAAGTCACGTAGAAGGAAAATATTTTATTATTTAGAAGGAAAAATATTTTATTATTTTCCTTCTACGTGACTTTACCTTGGTTCTTTCGGTAAAGTCACGTAGAAGGAAAATATTTTATTATTATCCTTCTACGTGACTTTACCGAAAGAACCAAGAAGATATAGAAATGTTCTTTCGGACACATTCTTCAGGCCCTGCTCAAGCCCACTAACTTTTCGTCACAGTGAACTATTCACGTGTTCGACTGTACGTTTCTCTCTTATTCCAAGTGTGCGTCTCTCCATGCGTCTTTGTGCATTTTCCAGCTGTTGTTCCATTGTTTTTCGAGTGGACCACGTTTAGGAACGATGTCATAGGTGAAGAACAGGTCTGTCGGAAAGACAGTGTCTGAATGACGCTGTCTTTCCGACAGACCTGTTCTTCACCTGAGGACGGCTGCTTGCATTGTGGCCAAAACGTCGTGAGAATGAGTTTATTATTTTTATTTTTATAATTTTATTATTTCCCTTCTACGTGACTTTACCGAAAGAACCAAGAAGATGAATCCCGGCAGTCACGAAAGCTTTAAATCGAGATGTCAGAGGTGTTACGTTTAATATTACAATCGTCTTGTGTTTTAAGGGCCTTCGATGGACATCGCGAGGGTTTCTGCGACGCCAGTGTCTGTGAAAAGCCGGCCAGTCGTTGAGCAGCACCACCATCTTGCAACATGCCAGGATGATGCCTTCCCAGAATTCCAAGCGCGCGTTGCAGGGCTCTCTGATTGGTTGGCTGAGCTCGAGAAAAGATTGACACCACAACCCGTGACCTTTGGCGACGTCGATGACATAAACAGAGAGATTAAAAAGCTAAAGGTAAAATAACATCGAATGTACACATTCATTACATTGGCTTGTGCCCAATACATAAATATTCATAAAGGAGATACATATGCATACCAGAATGCACTCAATATAGTCATTCACTTGTCAATTAAAACATGCTTACGGCCCTTTTAGAAATCTGCTACTGGATTAAAGGCCCTCCCCATGTCGTGCGGGTTAAGTGTGAGTTGGTTGAAGCAGGGAGCATAAACACAGGAAACATAGCATGGTGCAACAGTGAATTTTGCTGCCCTGCCCTGCAATGAAAGTAACACTAAATATGCAACTACAGCGGGCACACCTGTGTAAGTGACATCAGGAGTATGACGGTTCAACCTCCCCGGGGGGCAATTCGATGAAGTGTCATCGCAGTTTAGTGTCGTTATCCAGTTCAAAAATTTTGCTGAATGCAGTGGCCACCAAACTGGCTGCGGGTTGATGCGTGAAACCCATGACATGAAGCATAACCTTAATCGTGAGCTTCGGAGTCGATTTTATAAATCGGCGAGTCAATGCGTTGTTACACCTGCACAAGCTGAATGTTAGCGCAGCGTACAGACTTTCTTCTCATCTCAGTCTCGAAATGTTTCTGTGGTATAACATTTGCATTGGCGTGGAGCCAAAACCAAATACGTATGGTCTACTTGCTACATTTCATGTGTATGCAAATTCGGGCATTTGTAGAATAAAAAAAAATATCTCGGTAAATAAAACTTGAGTGTTTTGATGGTTGACTTCCATCATCGTGTGTATTTGTGCGTGTGTGCGTGTTTCCTGGCAGACTGTTATGCGTGATCTGAACCTCAAACGGCCGCAGTTTTATGAGGTCATGACATCAGTTGAGAAAATCCGCGCTGGGCCATCACGTCTCTGCTCCAACGGTTTGTATCAAAGTGTTTCCTGGCGTTAACCTCACAGTCGCTGCCTCTTCTGTTTATCTGCGCAGAATTTTTACTGCGGGGCATTAAGAGAGATCACTTTCAAGGGAGCCATGCGTCTGCGTGTGATTTTTTTTTTATCCCAGAAACACCGACCCCCTGTTCACCTTTTGCCATCAAATGAATTGGATAGGCGTGGTGGTACGCGGTGAAAACATTGCCGTTGTGATTTTCTGTGCAGATGGCGTAAGTGTTGGCCGTGTTTGTTCGGTCAGAGGATGATGGGCATTTTCGCACGGACACCATTTGTTTTCTGAAAGTCGCTTGGTGACTTAAAATGAAATGTTGTTAATTTTGTGTTTAATGCCAAGGAAGGTGGCAATTTTCCTTTGTTCTCAAAAACGTTTTTGGCTCCCGTTTTCACACCCCGATGCAAGCAACCGTGGCAGCCTTCCCCTCAACACTTTACATCGATTGCTCATCTTATCCCGTCGGCTTCGAGAATATTCCCCATAAAGCAACACTGGCCAAAGCAACAGCAAGCCACTTACATTCCTGGCAAGAGCTGCCGCCGCTGGTGACTTCGGAATTATGTTTGATTACCAGAGCACGCAGTGCGTCACGTTGTGTGCCATCTTCAGGCTGAAGGACCATATCTTCTCGGGTCGGCTTGACCCATGTCGTCCACATGATGTCAAGTTGAAGGACATTTGTAGAACCATCTTGCTCGTCGCCGACATCTGCGTTTTTTCGTGTTGTTGTTTGTGACACTGAAGCGGCAACACAATTATGCATGGGGCGGCACACCTTGAGCGTGCCCCGGCATTTACGGTGACAAATTAATCCGATTTGCATTTTAAACAGAGGCTCCTCGGCTGAAATTGCGGAGGAAGCGAGCAGAGTAATTAATTTAGACACGCCGGCATGTGCGCACTCACGGCGCAAAGTCCGCGGACGAACGTGCGGTGCGTGAAGCTCACCGCGGCGGAACACAATTAACCATTTCGCACGCGATTCCTCAACATATGCCGCATAGTGGCAATTCCCGCAGCGAGTGGAGTTTGTCTCAAAGTTAACTTTTATCGCCATCTCGGGGTCAATTGGCCGTGAACATTAAAAAGCCTTGAAATTAAATGAGCAAATAACCGATCCATTGATGAATCAATTACAATTTATTATTGTGCTCAAGGTAAAAATGTAAAAAAAAAAGTTTAGGTAAAGGTGCAGCCCTGCAATTACTTGCTCATTCCACTGCTGGCTGAAGGTCTTCCACCAGAAGGAGCTCGAGAGCGAGCTCCTTCTAGAGAGGGTATATTTTCATTCTCCTCCACGATGACCATACTTCTTTAAAGAGGAGGAAGTACTCACACTTGACCCCGCCACACGCAATCTGCCCATCGAATTGTAGCGTACCCGTTCATACTGCTGGGTAGATAGAGGTGGAGGGAATTGACAAGAAAAAAAATCCAATCGCCATTGTTTCAACTTCCATGCCGGGCATTTGAACCGACGGACGTCTGGGTTGCAAGTCCAGCGCGTGTTGACCTTTACCACCACGGCAGCACCCACGCCTCGTAATGCCTGTGTAGTATAATAACACCAGCTAGTGGCCAGCAGCGGCAACTGTGGTGGACAAACGGTACACGTGCCGGTGAGCATACACACGGCTGTGTCGGCAGGGCGGTGGAACTGGGGCAAGGGTCATGGGGGGCCCCATCTGGAAACCCCTGGAACCTGCTAGTGGGTTCGAGACGGGAGGGCGGAGCCAGGCCGCGCTGGGAGCATAAAAGGGGCAGAGAGTGGGAGCTCGAGGCTGCCCGTTCTGGGATTGGATCATCTCTTCGTTGCTGTTGTCTCGTCGCCATCGTCGCCATCGTCGTCATTGTCGCTGCCCTCTTCGCCCGACATTGCGCTGCTAGATAGTTGTTGGCTGTCTCCGTCAGCGCCGTCGGTGTTAGACGGCTCGCGTTGTGTATAGGCTAGCGACTCTAGAGTGTGCAGGCGAGAGCGTGTGTGTTCAATACAGAAAGGTGCCTCTCTACAATCCTCGTCTCAGAATCACTGACGCTACATTTCGATTTAAAGCTTTCGTGACCGCAGGGATTCATATTCTTGGTTCTTTCGGTAAAGTCACGTAGAAGGGAAATAATAAAAGAATACAAATTAAACATAATAAAATTCTCACGACGTTTCGGCCACAACGCAAGCAGCCGTCCTCGGGTGAAGAAACAGAGCTGTCGGAAAGACGCTACACTTGCATGGAGTCGCACGTTGCAAAGAATCGATGGTTGTATCCGCGTATGTATTTAACCCTCTCCTGCTCCGAGACATCTGCAGGGTGGGTGTCCCGTTTATCGCTGAATCTTGAAATGCGCAAGCCCCCTACTCCTCTGCTGTGTTTGCGAGTGAATGTAGGAATTACAACTCTGCCAGATAAGAGCGATGCTGACTGAGGCTCTGTGGTGCCGATTGGATCCTATCACTTGACAGATGCACACAGGGCCCCCTACAAAGCGCACTCTCTCCAATGCTCATATTATTTTGCCCTCTGTTCAATTATTCAGCTGGTGCGAGGATTGTAGCTTGATATATTATTTCTGGTGCGTTTCTCCCCGGCGCAAGAGGGCACAGCGTATTCTCCTACCAAACTATCTCGCTGCGTTATTATACCAGAGATGCTCCATCGGCAAATATCACGGCATACATATCACAAGACTAGATTTCTTTTTAGTTAACATTTTGATGAGATCCTGGGTTTAAATGATGTACAGTAACAGAGTTTAGCCGTGATTTTAACCGAGATCTCAAGTGTAAATAGTGCTAGCTCTCAGTCCAGTCATTAAAGGCTGCACGGAAAACATTAAATGCACTTAACTTAATTTCTTAATTCGGAATTCAATTCCCAAACCATGGCTGATATTCGTGGCGTGCAATATCTGAACTGGTCCTGTGTCCCCCCCCCCCTCCTCACCCTTTCACCAAACTGCACTGACCAGCATGGGGAAGTATGGTCAAACAAACCCGCATGACTGTCATGGTGTGGGGTGGTGGTGGGGGGGCATTTTTCCAGCAGTGGATTGACAAAGCGCCGTAAATTACCATAAACTATGAATGAGGCAAATTCTCATGATTTTTTTCCACTCACTCTAAACTGTGAAAGATCTGAATGTTGATTAAAGTGGAAAAAAAAATCAATGTATGAGGCTCCATCCTGCTAAGTTCGCACAAGTGTCATTTTTGAATACCAGCTTTATTCTCAATGCAGACCAACGCCTTAAACTATGCATACGTCATTTGGCTTCTTTAAACACGAATTAAATTGGCCAATTTTCAATTCTTCGAACCACTATGGGAACTGTGCAAGGTGCACGTGCGTGTGTGTGTGCACGCACGCCACGTGTGTGTTTGCGCACTCGTGTGTTTGGTGTGCGTACGTGGGGAGCATGCGCTGTGATCCAAACCTCTCCTGGGTTCAATTCCTGAGCACAGATGAAGTGGCCTGTGGAACCGGTAGAGCTGTGGCTTCTCTTTGGGTGACTTTAATGGGTTTCCAACAATCTGTTCACGGCCAGGCACTGGGGAGACAAAGGTGACCAGGATTGATGTAGGCAATGCCAACCCTTGGTGACTTGATTCAATAACTTGTAATGCTGACTCTCGTTTTCACCATTTCGTTTCCATTTGTTCTCGTTTATTCCATCTCGTTTGCACCGTTATATTTGCTTGGTTACCCTAAATGTAAGGGTTGCATATGATGTGGATTTAACTTGATGAACGGGACTAATTGTTATGCACATGAGTTGATAAATATATATTCCAAGCGCAATAATCGATTTATTTAATGAATGGGCGTGTGTTTTATTCAATGAAATAATGCATCGTTGCTTCACCATGTAGGTTTGCTCGGGCAATAAAAATCATAATTTGAAATTGAAATTCTGAGAACAAATTTATCTAATCGCAAAATTTTGTCGTCAGACTCGTTCGTTAACTCACCGGTGAGCCAAAACGATAACAATTAGCACGTTAAACGCTTGGTCACGTCACAGTTAAATGACTTTCGGCTTTGTCGGGTGGTGGAGGATTCTTAGACACAAATGTGGTCGGATAATTAGTGGGCCTTCTCCAAAATTACATTCCGAATCGTACATCATTGAGTTCCCACCACTGAATAGAGGATCGTTGTCCTCGTACGTTTGTGCATTTTATTCTATTAAATGATACATCATCGCGTTCCTATTACTGAACATAGGCTTTTTCTCTCTTTCTGCGTGTGTGCGCATCCAGTGGAACGGCTCGGCGATGGCCTGTGCCAGGCCGAAACCGACTTGAGTCGCCGTGTGCAGACGCTGCAGGCCATGTTCCTCGATTCGAGCCTCTGGGACGAGGTGAAGCACGAGGCCGAGCAGCTGCTGGACGAAGCCGAGGCCCGGCAGCTTCTGCTCGTCGTAGGGCCGGGACAGCCGGACGCTTCGAGCACCTTGCTCGGAGCGTCGACGGAGACTCCGTGTCCGGAGCGGCGGCCGGACGCCGAGTCGTCGACGACGACCGCCGGCAACGAAGGTCGGGGGACGACCGGCGATGCCGAAGCACCGGCTGCACCCCGCGAGCTCGCCGCGAGCACCACCGCCATAGGAGAGCCCGGCGGAGGAAGTCCGGGTGACTTTGACCTGCCGGGAGAGGTCAGCGTGGAGAAGGAGGAGATGCTGGAGGCACCGGGGTCGGGTGGGGCGTGCAATGGCGTGGAGCAACGGAGCCGACCCAACTCGGATTCCTCGGCTGAGCTGGAGCCGGTGACTCGGCCGGGAGAGGTGAACCACGCCCCTGGCACTGGTGCCGAGGTGGAGGACGTGGAGTTCGTGGTGGTGCTCGAGAAGCAGCTGCTTGAGCAAAGGGTAAGGATAGGGCCTGGAACGATGCATCGGTTTTTGTGTTCACGTTGCACGTGTCGACTTGTGTGTTCGGTGGACTTCTTTCGCACTGTGCATAGCCAACCTTGCGAACTTGAATCGGTTATGCAACTGTTGTTAAGATGAGAACTGGAAGGCATGTGCTCACACAGTGACGTTAATAAGAAGGATGAAGATCAGACAGGATGGAAGGAGTTTTAGGCAAATATCTGCCTTTTGGGTCAGATAGAGATGAGAAGAAATGAAAGAGGTATGCCCTTGTCACGGATATTCACAGCGACATTTAACGTGTTTTTTTGTGAATATTAAACGAGAGAAAGAAAGATGTAAACATAAATGGGGAAATGATTAACCATCTCAGAGTTTCTGATTGCACATCCATTATAATAAATCAATGGAAATGAGTAAGGGGAGATGATTGTGGATCTCTAGAAGGCTGTAAAGTTGTGCTCGAGATAAATGTGAGTGGGAAACAAAGGTTTGGCAAAAATATTCCTCGGCAAAATGAAGATGTTTGTTGGAGGGACACAACTGGAAAACAGGTTATGTACACCGAGAGGTCAAAACGGAATTTCATTATTGAGTTGAATGGTGACCCTCGGTGGTGACAAATCACCTCATCCCTGGGGGGGAGGGTGGGGTGGTGGAATCATTCTACGCCCCCCCCCCCACCCCCTAGTAACGATGCGTTTGCCATTCTGACCCCCGCCTGCATTATGCAAGTTTCACCATGAAGGGAAAGTCGTACACCAAGGTGATGTTTATTTATAGCGCTCGGCTAACATTGCGGATTTGCCCTTTTTATGCACGTGGGGTCTTAATTTATACAGCAATGTTACCACAACGTTTGCTCCGAATGTTTTATTTTTACAAAACCCATGAACTTGGAAATTGCCTGTGTTTGTTGTGAAATACAAAATTAGGTTTCATCTTCTTGGTTCTTTCGGTAAAGTCACGTAGAAGGGAAATAGTAAAATAATAAAAATAAAACATAATAAAATAATTCTTACGACGTTTCGGCCACAACGCAAGCAGCCGTCCTCAGGTGAAGAACAGGTCTGTCGGAAAGACAGCGTCTGAATGACGCTGTCTTTCCGACAGCCCTGTTCTTCACGGCTGCTTGCGTTGGGGCCGAAACGTCGTGAGAATTATTTTATTATGTTTTATTTTTATTATTTTACTATTTCCCTTCTACGTGACTTTACCGAAAGAACCAAGAAGATGAATCCCTGCAGTCACGAAAGCTTTAAATCGAAATTTAAAATTAGGTTTGTTATTTTTTTGTTTGGTGGTTATCTCCGTAATTAGATTTTCCGATTTTTGCTTGAACTAAGAAAATGCATTTTTGTAATAACACCCTTGATAAACATAAGACGGGATTTATGTAAAATATATTCCATTACCAATTTCATGATTATAAAAATTTAGCGAATTTTTAAAGTGGGATTTTACACAACACGGTGGCTCTAATTACCGCCGTGACATGGATGGAATAGACAAAACGGTTAGTAAATCTTTGGAAGGTGCGTACTGCTAAATCATTAATATTTATACCATTTTTTGTATCTTCTCAGCAATAGTTATAAAGCCAATTTAAGTTGGATTTGCTTGCAGGGCTTCTGGAAAACTGTGTAGGATTAAGGTGGAATGCATCTTTAGATGAACCACAATCGTAAGAACGACTCTAATTGTTTGGGCAGTGACGCAGGCCCAAGTGGTATGGCTTCTGCCACTTGTGCCAGAGGTTAGAGGTTCAAGCGAGGGTGTATTTATCATAAACAAAATTAAGCACGGTCTGTTTCCCATTGAAAGTTAAAGATCCCATGACTATTCATGAAAGAGTAGGCCTTTACACAAACACCATCACATTTAGTTGGTCTCGAATTATCTGGAAAGCTAATTAGCCCAAATAACTAAAAACACATGCGGAGGATTTCTACTTATTTACGTTTTTACCTATAATGCTGCCAACGTCAAATGAGTTTGTACAATACATAAAAATGTGGTTATGCACTGAATTTAGCTAAATTCCTGGTCTGAGAATCGAATTTTGGTTCGACTGTCATACAGTGAACTTTGCTGGCGTAGCTCAGTGGGTTGGGAACGTGATTTCCTCTACCGTGTGGACCACAGTTCACTTCAAGGGGTCACCCTGCGATATTCCCCTCGATGGACCGTTCTCTTAACATGAAGATTTGCGCTGCTCTGCCAGAATCTTGACGAATTCATCTCTTGACACGACGACGATTGCAGAAATCCGGAACGCAGTCGCGGGAGAAATGAACAATTGACGCAAATCTCCGTCAGTTTCCTTGGTCGTGGGGTCGGTCTTGCAAATTCGATCCCAATATCCTCCTCTTCGACGTCTTCACTCTATCACGAACGTCGCAGCACACCTGCCCACAGACAGTCCACCGTGGCGGAGGTTTTTTTTTGCATCGTAGCAAACCCACGAGCCCCGGAGTTTTTATTTGTTTTTTTTTACAGCACGCCGCGCGGCTCGCATGACCCCCTGGGGTGTCAGATTTTTCGGGGGGGGGAGGGACAGTCTCCGATGCAACTGGACTATTTTAAAGGAGGTGGAAGGTAAAAAGTGGGGAGATGGCACCCTCCACACCCCCCCCCCCCCGCCCAGCTGCTGCCCCAACCAAGCGAGGGACACCACATCAAGGGAGAGGATGACGGGAGTGGGGAAGTATAACCAACCTAATGTGGGAGACCTTAGGGGTAGGTGGACGGGGGGGGCAGGAGTCGACTGTGGTTTTGACCTCGGTCTGCGCACGACCTAGGACAACGCAGTCGCGCCGCTTATTTCGTTATTTACGAGCGGGACCTGGCGTAAAGTGCGGAGAATTAAATTAATCCAAATGGCATGTGTGAAAATAACCGTCGTTCAATTACGAGGATGGGCCGCTGGATTCGGTGCCGGGCGGCGCCGCTACGCACGGCCCCGGCAGGGCAGGTCAACTCATCGTCCCGTGTGCCACAGGAAACGAATTTTTGTAATACGCCACACGCACGCGCGCGATTTTTCATAATTAAGATAATCCGGAACGGCCGCTTTGTTGCATTTTGCGCGGCGCGCGTTTTAAGTATTTTGTGTCGTGCACACGGGGAGGGGGCGAAGGTCGGCACAGAACAGAGGGGCTTGATCACGACCTGCGGCTGTGTCATCAAAACCGCGCTGTGCTCTGATGGAAATCCTCGCCTTTTTCATTGGGAACGCGGCGGCCATCGTCGCCCCGAGCCGGTGATTTCATCCGCGGCGGTGCAGGCGGCAGTTTTCCGTCACTTTTCTTTTTACGAGGCGACCGGTTTTTATATGAACAAAAAAAATGTTGGACGCGGCTGTGAGCCAACAGCAGAGCGGTGCATCCTGGCAAAGGATTTGCGGCAACGTGGATTTGTCCGGTATCTAAATATGCAAGCTGCAATGCAAGACGTTTTACGGAAACGGGTGAGCATACCACTGTGATGGAGAGAAAGAGAGAGCGAGGCATTGGCGGGGAACACAAGGACATCGTGAGCCTGGACTTGAACAGGAGTGGCGAGTTGGCACCAAGGATAGGTGAGGGAATTGGAGTTCAAGACCACGGGGATAGCAGGAGGGATATTACCGACCTATAACCCGCACTGACCAGCGTGGTGAAGTATATCAAACAAGCCCCTATGACTGTTGAGGCATTAGGAGGCCTTCATCCAGCAGCGGATCGAGGAATGCTGTCTCATTATGAACATGTTATTCATTAACAGTAGGGCATGGAAAGATTCACCCCCACCCCCACCCCTCTGATTTGATTACCATCATTCAGGATAGCAGTGCGATTAAATTATTAAAATGTTTGTGGCATTGCAGTGAATGGTGGCCGGGGCCTTTTAGTGGCTCTTGGGGGTGACGTGAACCCGTTCAGAATCGATAAAGCATTCATTAACGGGTGTACGGCCAGAACAACCCCCCCCCCCCTCTCCACCCACCACAACAACCGATGATCCACTGCTGGCTTTCCTCCAGGAGTAAATTTGACGGAGGCTTTTCAGAGTTGCTTCGTTTGCTTCTGTTTTTGCGACCACCGCCCCCCTCTCCGCCCACCACAACAACCGATGATCCACTGCTGGCTTTCCTCCAGTAGTAAATTTGACGGAGGCTTTTCAGAGTTGCTTCGTTTGTTTCTGTTTTTGCGACCCCTGCCCGCCCACCCGCCTCTCCCCCTCGAGCAGGCGTTGATGCAGGAGCAGGAAGAGAGGCAGTCAGTGCTGGACGCGGCGCGAGCCGAGGCCGAGCGGATCCAGCTGGACTACTCCATGGACGACACGGCGAGCGTCCTGCAAGAGCTGGCGGGCCTCGAGTTGCGGAACAAGCACCTCGTGCAACGGTGAGCGATCTCCAGCCGGGCACGTGAGCCCGTAGCAGTCGTAATAATAATAATAGTGTGCGTTTTTGGTATTCCCGCGCCATTCTCGTGACGCAAGGGATGTCACGACAAAGGTGTGCCACGTTTCGCCTACATGGTCTGCGTTACTTTCCCCAGTAGAGGGGGTGATGGTTACTATGTGTAATCCCAATTTAGTAATTTGCAGATGATTTTTTTTTCGTCAAATTTTCACCCTGGCACAAACGACAACCTACTCTTTTTCAATTTAAAGCTTTCGTGACTGCAGGGATTCATCTTCTTGGTTCTTTCAGTAAAGTCACGTAGAATGGAAATAATAAAATAATAAAAATAAAAGATAATAAAATAATTCTCACTATTTTTTTTATTATGTTTTATTTTTATTATTTTAGTATTTCCATTCTACGTGACTTTACCGAAAGAACCAAGAAGACAGCCTACTCTTTCCGAATGCCCGCGAGTATTTTACGGTTAATATACCCGCGGTAATGTCAGGATCGAAATCTTTATTTCGATTGGAGGAATCCATTGAGCTATGCAGCTCTTTTGCACAGATGTCCATTGTGTCCAATAACCAGAGTGTGGGCTTGCAAGATTAAAAACCGCGAGTTTCTGGAACGGGCCATATCCACCCACACCATCCCTCAGGGTTTCTGAGGGTTGGTTGTTTGAAAACAGTAATGCAAACACGAACGAAAGTAATTTTGCAGCGAAAAAGTGACTTTACATTTTCCTGTATTTTCCCCCACTTAAACACACGTGCTCGCAGGCATAGTTCCTTGGAGCTGGTGAAAAATGAACAGAAGGCCCTTTTGTTTATTTTATAGATTTGCATGATCACGTTGGTGGCATCGTATGGGCGGCAGATTAAAGAAAATAAATAGGGTGGAAAAAAAATGTTGCAAGAAAATGGGTTTTGCAGCGAAGAGACAGGTAATCATGCCATATTCCGGTGGGTGCTTGGGTGGGTGCGTGGGTGGGTGCGTGGGTGGGTGGGTGCGTGGGTGGGTGGGTGCGTGGGTGGGTGCGTACAAAGCACGTTACTAAATGTCAGGTGACATGAATTATAGCCAAAAAACCGCCACTCCCATGGTAATGAAAGCAGAATTTTATATTCGATTTCTGTCTGTGCTTGGTAAGTGAAATTTGCGCCCCTACTTTCGCTGAAAACTACATGTGAATAGACGGCCTTGTTATTGAGTCATGTCTGGAAACATTGATGGGGCTTCCCACTGCTATGAATCTTTCGTTCTATACATACATGCCTTTCCGCCGCTGTAAATTTCCGTGAAAATAAATGTACACCGCTAACTATAATAATTTACACCCCTTCTTCTTTCAAGGATTTCCCATTGTCGCATCAGTTCGGGCGGGGTGGGGGGGGTTGTTTGACCATACTTCACCGCACTGACCAACCTTCACCGGTTGGTGGTGAGAGGTGGCCTAGGACCAGTTCGGCAAATACTCGCCACAGATGTTAGCCGTGACTGGCATTCGAACTGAGGTCACTTAATTCACCGCACAGCGTGTGATAACCACGGCACCACTGTTCCACCGTACGTGCGACACTACAGACTATCTATTGTAAACGTGTGTGTGTGTGTCTGCTGCTGTGGTATGCAGTCGTGTAGCAGTTAGCATGCGGTGTTATGAACCTGACGATCGGCTCTGAACCAGTCCTGGGCCTCCCCTAGGTCTATTCATCCTCTAATGAGTAGTTTAACACGTAGGCTTTCGCGACCAATATTATTCATAATCAACGTTTTTGGGTTTAGATCGCGTTATTTATAAATGTGTCGTAACCCTCCACCACCCGACACGGCCAATCAGTAAAAAAGTGTCACGTTGACAAAAGACAAATAGTTCACTGCTTTAGCCCACCGGTGTGTTGAAGCGTGAAACCACAACATTTACAATTTGAGTACGACGTTTCGCTGGTAATTGCATCCAGCATCATGATGCTGGATGCAATTATGATGCTGGATGCAATTATGATGCTGGATGCAATTACCAGCGATGATGCTGGATGCAATTACCAGCGAAACGTCGTACTCAAATTGTAAATGTTGTGGTTTCACGCTTCAACACACCGGTGGGCTAAAGCAGTGAACTATTTGTCTTTTGTCAACGTGACACTTTTTTACTGATTGGCCGTGTCGGGTGGTGGAGGGTTACGACACATTTATAAATAACGCGATCTAAACCCAAAAACGTTGATTATGAACTCTAATGAGTACTTGGTGTGGTGTGTAAAACATCGCCAATGGGGAGACAAAGGCCAGGCATGCTTCTGCCTACCCACACTCCTCGTGTGCCGTGCTGGTCTTCATAGGTGCTCGCTAGTAGCACTTGCTCCCACAGTCTTCTTTAGGCTATATGGGGGATCTTTGTCTCTGTCTAAGTACATTACGACACGGGGAGTGGTGGCAATAGCCCAATGCCCTTTGAACCTTGCCACTCGAGGTCGATTCCAGCTAGAATATGAGCAACCAGTCACGAATATTTGAACCGGCCCTGAGCTTCTCCTGCGTTAACTCTGCCTCAAATGAGTACAAATGTGATAAACCAAGGTGATCCAATGTGGTGTTGGCCGCATTAGCCTGTTGTGCGCCTTGCCAGCTTTCACCGGTGCTCGTGAATGGCACTTGCCCCGCAAATCTGTATGGCTATTAGTGGTGGTGAGACGGTGTCCTTCGTACATTCGTACGTAGTACATCTCTCGCTACCTCCGTACTCAATATACGTATGTCACCGTCCTCTGCTAGTAACCCTAAAATTCACCTCTTCACGTAAAGTATCCGTTGAGATCTTTCCAGAGAGGAAATCGCACACACGAGCGATCAGCGGAGCTCATTCCAAAATTACTACCCAGGGCTGAAGGGAGAGAAGGAAAATGACGGTTGTTACCATCGATTATCAAAAAAAGTTACAAAAAGAATTGCACCAGCCCCCAGGTATTGTTATATTTGTATTGAGGATTTAATTACCTGCTGCATCATAGACTTGATGACTACGTTCAGACGTTGCGGTTATTTTACCCGTGAAGAATCGCAGCTCCTTGGCTACCTGCAGCGAGAGAGAGAGAGAGAATTTTGTTTTAAATGCTCTACTGCTGCAGCAGGAGTATCCTTCAGTAATTTTTCACTGCAGCTTAAAATCCCTAGGCGCTAGGGAGAAACACATTTGCTAAAACAAAAGTGCTTTGCCTCTGCTGTTTAACCGTTATCTGTAACGGTAATGATCGACAGGATTATTGTCAGCGCGCCCTGTAGCCAGACACATACTGAATAAACCGAAACCCCAGATGGCATTGTTGAAGCATCATTAACTTTTAATGTGTATGTGCGTACACACTTATATATTCATAGATACGTGTCAGTCTAATCACCAAATCACCCGGAATGTGCTCAGTTCTAGTCTGATCTCAGAAGCTGTCTGGCTCGTGCTTGAATGTATGGCCACTGGACATAGCAGGTTGTTGTTATACTGGTAGGAACCTCCTGGTTACACCAGCCCACAGGGGATTATTGTGTCCGTCGTGCAGGGAGGGGCTGGGTGGGGAGGGAGGGGCTGAGTGGGGAGGGTGGGGTGGGGAGGGTGGGGCTGGGTGGGGAGGGTGGGGAGGGGCTGGGTGGGGGGTGGGAGGCGTGGGGCTGGGTGGGGAGGGGCTGGTCACCCCGTGGTGCCTTATAAAACTCAACGTTTAACCTACTCACGCCGGCTTGTGCCCGCCCTCACAGTCGGGCATATTTACGGAATACACCACGCCGCCGTTGACCCTGGCCATTAACCGAGCAACCAAACGTTCCTATCACCTCCCACCGCAGGAATGTGTTTATAGGCTGTGGGATAGGTGGTGTGCAGCAAAGGGCAATGGAGCAAAATCACTTGGTTTAGTGTACTTCTATGCTGCCCACCTTCACCAGCCTGCGCTGACCCTGATGGTGAAGTATGGTCGAATAATTCCCAACACCTCTGCACAGCGTGGAGCAGGCCCTGGTCCAGGAACACACTGGCCATGGGCTGCACCGGTTCGTATGCGTTTGCAGGGGGGAGTGGTGGTGCAGCGATCCGCACACCGCGCTGCGGTGTTAATCGGCCATCCAGGTTCGATCCTCGGACGTGGATAACGTCAGCGACGACTGGTATCACAAGTTGTCTGGGGCCTTTCTCCTAGGTTGACTCGGCCGTAAATGAGTTCCTGATGCAGTGCGTGACCGTGATCACCGGGGAGATGAATGCGGAAAGGTATGGTGCTGGTCATACCACATGAAGGACGAAAAAGGTCCTCGCGAAATGGACTTTCCCCAACAGTCGTTTTAGTTTTCGCGGGATCTCTAACATCTGCATACTTCCTCTTAGTTCTTTCGGTAAAGTTACTTCCTTTCTACATGACTTTATCGAAAGAACCAAGAAGATGAATCCCTGCAGTCACGAAAGCTTTAAATCGAAATCTGCATACTTCTCTATTAGTTTTCCAATGGAGTGACATTCTTCTGTCATTTAAAATGTATGTTGTGGCTGCATGGCTCAGAGGGGGTTCACAGCACTGGAGCCGGCACTGCTTGCACCTGCTGCGTGTTGCACTGTGAGAGTTCGAGGTGGATACGTCATCGAACGGCACGACATGGACGGCACAACTGGATTAGCACTGGGCAAAACAAACAATGACTTGACTTTCTTGATGCACACGCGTGTAATGAGCGAATTCTGAGACACGTCGTGTAGAGGGCTTCTTCATATTTATTCTCACACTGGGCATAACACTGGGTCATATAGAAACGTCTCTACTTTAGCTACGCACAGCCGACCTCTCTACATAGTCCCAACGCTTACATCCAACCACACGGCTGACTGACTGGTGTGACGATGACGTTCGATGGGAGCCGTGCGGAGGATCTTCCATGCGGCCGGACGACGGACAGAGATAACTGCGAGTGGCGACGCAGCCAGGACCCTGGACCCTGCAATAACAACCCTGA